ACCGTGAGGGTCTCCCTAACACACGGTGCTCCCCCTCAGCACACGCCGTGGTGCCCCCAGCGCTGCCACCCACATCGGCCCCCCCAAGGCTCACACACAGAGGCACCCCCAGGCCATATCCAGTTACCCCCGTTATTTTGAGCCCCTTTTTACCAACGATCCCTCAAAAAAGCTGATCGCTACCGGCCTTCTGGGGACCCACAGGGCTGCACATGACAGGGACAGGCTCGGAAACACCACCAGCTCGAAGAAAACTCCTCAAATTTCTTATCTGCTGCCTCCTGGCTGGCATCGGTCCCCAGCAGGTACCAGGGATATTGCTCAGCCATATCTCGCACAGGTTCGTATCGCACTTGCATTTCCTCAGTTTCAAGCAGAGAAGAGTCGTGGATTTCTGCAGCTGCAATGGCATCACAAGTATCAGCTCTTTCACCCGCTCCTGCCCTGATGCAGCAGGCATGGCTACGCCTCACTCACCAGGGTTTCACCCCCTCTGCTCTGAGGCAGCTCCCACCGATTGCAGCTCAAGGATTTTAACTGTTACTACGAGTTGTACGTGTATGAAGATCCACTCTACCCAGAAATCAAGGATGTATGGACTGGGAAGATGGGCTGATGAGAAAAAAATGTATAGTTTGGGCTTTTTTGGAGAGCCTTTTCAATTACATTTAAAAAAAAAAATATTGCCCAACAAGCAAATCCTCCCAAAGTTAGTGAACCTGTGCTTTATTTTTACATACTACCCCTTCTTATTTTTACCAAAAGGGCAGAGCTGTCATTGCCTCCATTGGTAAGGCTTGTCTTACTATCCTTCATGTTTTGCAATGGTTGTAGCTCTTTCTTTCCTACATGTGTCCAAAATCAGATAAGTAACAAAAGGTTCCACATCCTCAGCAAGCCCTACAGCACATTAGAGCCTCATCTATTTTTACAGTTCCATTTTAGGTCACATCCTTCCTACCAGATATGAGAGCAAAAACTCCCTTTCCATTCTCAGTGAAGTCTGCTGCTTCTGTTAATCCCAGCGTGTTGTGCTTTTCGTTAAAATAGCTCAATATTACCACTTTCTGCCTCGCTGCGCAGCACAGGATGCTCTGTACTAGTGTCACGGTCTCCTTCTGCAAACCCCATTTTGTGTTTGCTCTTCCCAGCTGCTGAGTTTGTACCTTCCCTTGGGTCCTGTCTCATAACGAGTGCCTACATACACTCATTAGTCTGAGAGTGCTTATGGGATTGAATGGACTGGGCCTCCTCAGCATAACCCCAGTATTTCTTTACCTGCTTTTGGAGATGTCGTATCCAAAACGCTGACCTGTTTTCTTTCTTTCATGCTCTTCGTGTGTCTTCTCAGAAGATGACAGCCTGTCTCCTAGGACAAAGGATCCAGTGCAAAGCAGTCTCTCCTCCTGCTCAAGGGAGACAACACTGAAAAAGAATATGCAGGGTAAAGTCCCTCAATGATTAGGGGATTCTGGGCCATCACAGTTTCTCAGTGACAGTCCGGTGGACTCAGTAACCCAGGCCAGGGCTAATTCCTGTGGTCCCCCTCTCACATACACAGCGTGCTGTTGGTGACACAGCCGTCTCCCCACCAGTCAGGAGCCAAAGGATTTCCACCCAGTACTCCCAAAAGGTACCCTCATCCTACCTCCTGTGGCAGAACAGGAATTCTTGTGCGGAGTCCCCTAAGGCGCAGATGACTCTCCAATACCAATCGCCATTTTAGATAGGTAACACGTATTTGTGCTTTCCAGGCCCAGCTCACACTGATGCGGAGCTCGTGTCCTCCATGATGAAAAAAATCACTCTATTGGAACAAAAAGTAGAGAAACAAGCACAAGAAATCCAACTGAAGGTAAAAATCCTGCCCTTTACTGAACCTGTTCTGTGCCCTGCTTTGATGGGTGAAGCCACAGTAGCATTACACCTGCTTAGACCTAGTTTGGACTAAACCAAGTTAATCTGTAGCCTGCTCTGTTAATTACACAAAAGAGCCTTTGCAAAGCAACAGAGAAATTGTATCAGTCCTTGGGGTGGGAGAGTGCACAGTCCCTGCTGTGACTTCTTAAAGCACAGACTCTCAGCATCCTTTCACTGATATCATTAGCTGTTTGGCTTCAGACCTTTCTTCCTTTTCCTTTCTGAAAGAACAACTGCTTATACATCAAACATCCTGGGGCAGACCTCTTTGCATTATTGCAGCTTAGAATAAATACCTCTAGATGCTGGTTTCATTTCTAGGTCAGCCACTTATGGCAGGTCAGAGCACGAGCTGTGCCTGAGCAGGAATCACAGGGGCAGGAGTCCGTGCATCTGCCTACAGCTCTTGTGCAGATGGAGGAGGGGGAGATAGGTCAGCATGTCCCTCGCCTGTTCTTGGAGCAGTGTATTTATATCCCACCCCTCATTTGAGTCTAATTAAGGTGAGGTGATACAATCTTTCTGACCCTTATTTTGCCTGACGCTGAGTGGGTGAGAATACATGCACCACTGACTCACCCAGCCAGGACTAATTATGCAAGCTGGGCCTCAAGGTCCTGAAGGCCAAGGAACTAAACAAGGTCATTATTTGTTTTGGTCCTGAAGGATAGGAGGATTGCTGAACTTGAAGAGAAGATGAGGACTCTTCAGAAAGGAGAAGGTAAAATTTGTTTTACCCTTGGCACCTTGCTCCTACCTGCGGGAGAGCTACAGAGCTCCTGGTGCTGCAACAGAGCAGGCTCGGAGACCTCCTCTCTGAGCCATCCTTGCATTAAAAGCCCAAGAGCCTCCTCAGTGAGTGGTGTTGGTTACACACACGTGGTACCGTTGCCAAAGCAGATCCGCACTTTATACTCACATCTGTTACTCCGCTTTTCTGGTGCGGTGCAAAATGTTATTTCCTGACCTATTTTCTATGGGTTGCTAAGTTTCCATGAGCATAGACCAACCACACAGATACCCAAGGATGGTCAGAAAAAAGAACAGTAAATACTGCAGAGTTCAAACAGGCTGGAAAAACAGTGCTACTCACAGCTATGCAAAACCAAAAATCAACTTGGAGTCTCAAGCAGTATTACAGGTTCAGGCTCACTTGTCCCATAAGGCAGCCTAACTCTAAATTGAGCCCAGCTTTTGAGTGAGTCATTGAAGGTCTTCCCCTCATTCAGTTCCTTGGAATCCAGCAGCTCTCCAGCTGAGCCCAGACGTGTTTCCTACAATGGCTGAACTACCTTGTTAGCACAAAGCTGTGGTAAGTTCTCAATTTCCTGAGCAGAGAACAAGCATATGCCCGTGAAACCACAAACATGTGTTTTGTACCTCATCATGCATTGTTCTAGCCATCCAGCCTAGGTTTCTGGATCCAGCTTTAGTGGACACCTGCTCATTTTTTTAATAGGTCCCTTCAGACTGAGTAAGCCAAGCAATTCCCATGGTATAATTGTGAACAGCACCACTCACATCAGCTTCCCGCAGCATAAAACTTCACCAGTATCATTCACAACTATCTTTTAGTCTGTCAGCATCTTTCCCAAAGTGCTTCAGGTTGAATTATCAGGGATCAGCATGCAGAGCTCATGTTTAGCTCCTGTGTCGTACATGCTTGAGTTCACTTAGGGTACAGGCAGGTACCGCTGGGTCATCTGCACTGTGTGACATGGGTTACCTATAGCTCTTCCTTAAGGCTGTACATAGAAAAACCCAGTCTTCCCTTTCAGATGCTCCTGACTCGTCCACAGCAGAGGAACTGGAAATTAGGTGCCTTCAGCTGCAGACCCAGGTCTGGGAGATGGAGGTGAGACACTTGCCCTAAGCCATCTGCACCTTTGGTTTGAGATCGTTGCAGTCCCAGGCTGCTCAGTCTTTTTCAGGCTGCCACTGTGATCATCACAATTCTTCACCTAACTCCTCTGAAAAGAAAGAACAGGCTGGATGTGAGCTACAGGGCAGTAGGACTTTTTTTTAAATACACAAACATTTGTGCCTCCTGCAAACCTCTTAATTTTGACTTCTAGGACTGTAGAAATATTCTTTGCAGCTACTACTGTCTTGCGAGATTACGGTGTCACTACTTTCATTCTCACTTTTGCTTACTAGTAGTAGAGCTGCCAGTGAGTTTGTCTGCCAGGGCCAAAGAGCCCCAAGAGAAACCTTCTCCCTTGCCTCCCCTTCTGCTTCTCATGGTCACAGCTGACCACTCTCAGGCTTCCATTTCTAGTTTTCTGAAGCTCTGGTCTACAACACTGACCTGTACTTTCCTCTTACAGCGGTTTCTAAATGACTATGGTCTGATTTGGGTTGGAGAGAGACAGGAACAGCTGGAAGACTTAGAATCACTCACGGAGGAAGAAGAGCTGCCAGCAAGGAGCCTCTGGAAGCCAGGTAAAGCACCAGCATTCTTTGCTGAAGCAGTGATCCTAGCTCCTGCTGCATGCTTAGAGAAGGTATGATACTCGCCAGATTAGATAAACATCAAAGGCCCAGAATTTGGGTCTTCAGAATTTGTGATCATGTGCTGAGGTCTTCATGTCAGTCCATCCTGGGGGCAGAGACATGGCGTACTTTAACAAGAGTGAAGCAAGGCAGAACGTTGGTATTTTATGAACCTGTATTTTGTAAGGTCCATCGAGGGGGAGAGGAGAGAACTCGATGGCTCAGGCATTTGGAAGGATTCCCTCACAGCAGCTGCTTCCTGAAGAGTTCCCATACCCTAAATGTTTGAAGCTCGATTGCTCTAACAACATTGACATAAAATGGGTGGAAAACGGAATCAGATGCTTTGTGTATATAGTAGCTGTAGTAACTTACCCATATTGTCTGGCTCCATCAGAGAGTATTGTTTGCCTTTCCTCCCAACCACCACGTGAGTGGTTTAATTGAGACCTGATTGTGCTGTATGGGGTCCAAGCATATTTGGCAATGGCTTCTTAGGAAGTGGTAACAGAGAAAAAAAAAACACAAGAATAATACTTGGGCTGTACAGCCAATGCTGCTTCCTAACCACCACGCAAAAATTAGCTAACTAATCCTTCCCTCCCTTAAACGCAGGAGGAAAGAACATGGGGGAAGCAGTAGAAATAATTTTAATTGTTTTCAGCTCACATAGCCTTTTTACGGGACATTTCCCCCGCCCTCCTTTATCAAGCTGAAAAAAAGCAGAACAGAAAATACCAAAGGCTTTACCTCTGCCTATATCTGTTCTTTCATTTCCTCTTCTGATTTCATTCTTCTGTCCCATCACAACTCTTACTGCTTCTGCTTCACCCTACCACCCTCCTCAAGCACCCAGACAAAAATCCTCAGCAGTGTCCCAGCAAGAGAGAGCAATTTGCTGGTGGCAAGGAGCAAGCAGTTGGCTGCGTTTACACCAGCATTTCTTCAGCGAGTCTGCCCTGATCCATTTATCCAATATAGTTAATGCAACTAGTGAAGCTCCTCACTGTGCATTTTACAGCACCACATTAAGGGACACCACAACCTCTGAAATGACAACTAAAGGCAAGGAGCTGAGTGTGGTCTCTGAAGAGCTGGCTGCATTTGTAGTTCACTCTGGAGCTATATTAGCTTGTAGCAAGAGGGCTGCCCTGCCCTTGTGGTTTTGCACACACCCATATAAACCTGGCAGCGGTGCTGCACCGCACTTTGAGAAAGTGCAAAAGGTGAAGCATGGAGAGGCAGCACAGATAGCCCAAAAACACACCTCAAATTCACACAGAGGTGAAAGCTACTTAGCTGGCATCCCCTCCTCCCTGTAACTCTGATCCCTCTGCCACAGGTGAAGCGGTTGTTTCCAAACACCAGATTGATTTTGATTTAATCTTGGAAAACGTGAAGGATTTGAATGTGCTGGCTGGAGAAGGCATTTCTCAAATCGAGCACATGCCTGGGGGTGCTCGGCTGAGACAGCCAGAACCCCTCCCTCTTACACTGTATCAAAATGGGATTGTCATGTTCAACGGACCCTTTCGGCCCTACGAGGACCCATCCACACAGGTATGGGAAGGTTTGTAGAGGAATTAAACTTAGAGCCATCCTGCTATCATCCCCTAAGCCTCAGGAAAAGGCATGTGTACAAATAGGGCTTGTGAGCTGGTCTCAGTCCTAAAAAGGAACACCTACTGAGACCTCCGGCTTCTCACCTGCGTTCCCACGGTGCCCTTACAAACTAGTTTGTCTCATAATTTTTAGACAGAGATTCCGAGTCTTTGATGCAGACTTTTCTGCACAGCAATAACAATACAAATAAGAGTAGCCCAGAAGGAATATATCAGTCATGAGATAAATAGAAAGTCTGAGGTATGACCATGAGCTCTCATTTTGTTTCAGCAATGCCTGCAGGATATTATGGATGGTTATTTCCCTTCAGAGTTGCAGATGCGCTACCCAGATGGCATCCCCTTGCAAGTAAGCAGTGCAAAACCCTGTTCATCACCTTTTTGAAAGAAATTGCTCTCTAGTTTCCCAAGAAAAATCGTTCAGGTTTCTTTCACCAATCTGCTGGATGCTCCCCACAGCAAATTAAGTTTGAGGTTTCTGAACACAGCATACAGGCAGCTAAAGTCTGTGCACGTGCGTCTCGGGGAAAGGGTGGCTGGGAACACACCTGCTAGAGCCGTTACAGGAAATAAGTGAGCATCTCTGTGTTGGGACTGGATGGTTTCTCTGCCTCGCTGAATCTTGGCTTGGAACAAGACTTCTAAGAGCGTAGCAGGCTTTGTAGAAGCGAAGTAGTATGTGCAGCCTCTGAAGAGCTGTGTAATAGGAGAGAAAAAAAGTTATCAGATAGTTCCCCTGGAAAAGCTTTAAAAACAGATTGAACGAGTATGTTCATATCAATCCAACAAGAGCAGGTCAGGAGAGGGTTTTTTTGGCCACAATTTAAATGGATTTGGCCACCTGAGGTTCTTTTGGGCTCCACTTCTTGATTTCTCAGAAATTGCAAAAAAAACAAGGCCACATTTTCAGGCAGAGAGCCTCAGAGGACCCTGATCTAGGTCTTCAAGTGCATCCGAAACATAAGCAGGCACAACCAGAGGGGTGCACCTACCCACTGCCACAAAGAAAGCAGGGCACAACTGCACAGGAGAACACGAGGTCTGGAGAGTCAGCATGGGCTGGTAGGTGTGGTAGTTAGAAAGTCAGATGGAAGAAGAAGGATTGTGCAAGGCTCTTGGGGCCGTGGTTCCCTATAATCCATGCACAGCTGGCCACATCTGGAAGCCACAGGACAGTGCAGTAACCTGGGGTAAATACAGACACAGAGCACATCCACCTGTGACACAGCCAGCCCGTGTAAGAGGAACATAAGCAGAGCCCGGACAGAAAGGCTGCCCCTGTTGATACAGCCTTCCGCACTGCTGCGGGCCGCAGGGTAGCCCTCTGACTGCCTTGGTTTGTCAGAGCCACCAGACAGTCCCCACTGCAGCTTCTTACTGCCAAATCCCTCTCCACCCCCAACCTGCTGCTTTCCCATCACTTTCCACCCGGAGAGTGTTTTCAAGTGTGGAAGCCGACACAGAGGAAAAGTCAGGTCCAAGCACGTTTCTTCCAACTCGTGGAAAGGAGCAGCTGCCCAGTGCCTGCAAGAGGGATGAACAACCACCCTGTGGTCCAGGTGGGCCATCCTGGGGACTTGGGGGATCTACCAGGATTTGCTTTGTTAAGAGAGCCTATGGGAGCTGAAAATGCATTTCAACAAGTTTGGACAGCTGGAGCAGCTTCCAAGGAAGCAGCTTGCTCTTTCATCTGGGGTTTACAACTCTTGGTTATTGTTGCTGTGGCTTATTGTGCTCTGATGCAGTGAGAACAAGCTTGTGCAACAGTCAGATTTGCTTATGGCGGTTGGCCTTAATTCAACAGGTCACTGACAGAAGGGACATGGTATTTCAGGAGAGAGACCTTCCAGGGAGTTTTCCTGGCCACGGCCAAGCGGTTGGCCATTCAAGATCAAGTGAGGTGCAGGAAACCACCAAGATCCCAGGTAAATTTTTTAAACTGTCTCAAAAGTGCAGCAAACTCGCAAAAAGGAAAATCCAAACCTTACCAGGGCAGTCCAGCTGGCAGGAGATGAATGTGTAGGTTCTCAGTGAGGAAGGCAACACTTCTGGATCAAAGCCAGAAGCTACGCTTGTAGCCCCAGTGTTGCTTCAGGAGCTGGGAGCCAGACAGTACACATGGTGTCCTCTCCTCATTAAATCCTCCTAAAGAATGAGGCATAACAAGCCATAAAAGACCAGAAGATCAGCAGGTTTGCCAAAAACGTATCTGCCCATGCCTTTCTGAAAGGCCAGGCTCATTCTAGCTTCACCCTTACTTCCAAAGGGTGCCAAGGGAACCATGCAGATCTGGGGGGAGTAAAGGCGGACATCTTCAAGTCAGACTGATCTTAACTGTCAAATACAGGATGATTCCTCTTCAGACTTTCATAAGAGAATGTGGGACATAAGGTCAGGCCACAGATTCCTCATTTTGCTTTTAGACCCTAGCAGTCTGCATAAGCAATACCTGACAGGGTTGGAAAGTCAAATGCAGTCAGTCATATAGACAGAAAAAAGTGGTTTTGTGCATGCATAACTAAATAACCCAAGCACGTGCATTGCCCATCAGCAACATCATCCTGTTTATAGAAAACTGTGCTACTTGCTCATTCATCTCAAGGCCGTTCACAAACAGAAGCTGTGTTAAATGTTTCCTTAACCCAAGTAGTTAAAAAAAAAAATCAATAATTGCCCAGTGACATCACAGAAAAAGGAGCCGACACCTACAAAAACACCCTCACAAGATGAAAAATTTTCCAGGTCTGTAAAAGTTGTCGTAGTTTCAGTTTTTCCTGTTCACAGCAGGGCTAACCAGGTTTCTACCTGTTGTGCATCCCAGCTGCGTGCTGAACAGGCTGCACAGTTTCTCGCTGTTGATGTTGACAGTCAAACAACTAGCGGGCCAGAAAGTGGGACAAGCTTCAACATGGAGACAGAGAGAGCTGGTCTCAGCCTAGCTAGGGGAGGTTAGAGCTCTCCCTGTTGGCTGTTGTGCTCTCTCATTTCACCAAATCAGCCTATTCTAGGGGTAAATTGTTTTTCAAAAAGGTGACACATGGACACATCTCCTCTCTGCTCTGGCAGGTCCCAAAGTCTCCTTGGAGCAGTTTCTCAACAAGCTTTCCAGGCCCTCGAAACATGGAGAATTGATCGGTGGCCAAGGCTCAGCCAGAGCAGCGCAGCAGGTATGAATGGACACCCCAAACACCCACAGGATGAGGCCAGCAGCGATTCCCTGGGCTCAGCACCCTGCACAGCACCAGTACCCCCTCCTCAGGCCTCTCTCAGCTCTGCATAATAACCTCCTCCTCCCAGAGAGGCTCCACCAGAGCACACGTGGCACTTTGGCACTTGCTCCTGGGCTTTCCTGGCACCGGTGTGACACTCACCTGGTTTGGTTTCAGGGCTGTGACCGGGTGCGGAGCAGCAAAGAGATCCTGGTGGAGACACCCAGGCTGTCTGCCCTGGAGAGGTACAGCACAGCCCCTCCATCCCTGCCCTGTCAGGCTCTCATCTTCCTCCTATTTCATCACTGTGGGTTTATTTCAGGGGTTTCAGTTGAGGGAGTAAAGGGACCTGCCCCTTTCATACCTTAGAAATAATTAGAAAAAGAGGCCAAGTTTGGTCTTCTGGGAAGACCACTGAATTGTTCATGGTAAACCTGCCATCTTTTACAGCTCTAACAAAAACTTCTGTTGTTCAAAACATTACTTACTTATTGCTGTGAAATACTTTTCCCAACAGCAAGCCAAGGCCTAAGATTTTGAAGCCATATAAGAAGCTGTTTGCGGTCATGTTAAATGGGAGAATCCCTCCAGGAAACTGATGCCTGAGTGGGAGGTCACACTAACAGCACTTTTCCACTCATAGTCTGCTGGCAAGACAAGACCCAAATAGCTAATGAAAAAAACCCAAACCCCAAGCAGATTATTTTTAATCAAAGAAGTAGGGCAAGTACTTACCAGACAGTCCTGATCTAAAATGAAAAAGTTAAAAAAGGTCAGCAACCCTCTTCCAAGGCACCTTTAAGCAGGGAAAGCAAAGTGGCAGTTCAGTGCGTGGGTCGGCTGCTTGCCCACAGCCAGTCAGGGCATTGTTCATCTCAAGGACATTCCCAAACGTGAAACACCTCTCCCCCGCTCGGATCCTGTTCTGCCTCCAGCAGAGCACTCACTCCTCAGCTCATGAGGTTTTCTAACCTCCAGGGTGAAGACAAATGAAGCTTCTGCCCCTGATGTCTGCACTCTCCGCATCAAATCTGAGAGCGGGGAGCAGACATACGTCGTAAAGATGCTGTTCACGGACACCATAGGGGACCTGCGCCAACACCTCGCCCACGCCAGGTAGGCCTAGGACTTCCTCCCCTCCTGGCTCCATAGAGCCCCAGGGAAGGTTTCTCAGCTGCTGCTCAAGGCCCTGGAGCTGTGTTTCAGACAGATGAGCCCGAGCTGAGCAGAGCTGGCATTACAGTCCCAGCCCCAGGAGCTGCTCTCTGGGCAGCGCTGCCAGGGTCACGCTTAGCTCAGAGCATTTAATACCCACCTTCCCCAAAAAGCTGACACAGCAGCAGAGGGAAGTCTCTTTTGTCTTCTCAAAATTGCCACCTGACCCAGGTCCATCTCTGCCTTCACCTCCTTCCAGCAGCACTCACCTATTGCCACCATTCCCAAGGCACTGGTGCAGCCTGGAAGCTGAGCTGCAGCCTTTGGCTTGGCTGATGGATCCACTGCCGGACAAACCCCACCCTTCGCTCAGCCAGCTCTGTATCCCAACACACTCCATGCTGCCCAAGAACTTTGGGGACAGTTCCAGGTGGTTGAAGGGACCCCTTTGCAATCCTGTTGTGGGCCAGAGCTCTAGCCTCAGTCTGAGCCCATGATGAGCTCACTGCTGTTGGGATGCAAGAGCCTCCTTCCCCACTGCAGCTGTGCAGCCTGGAATGGCAGCTCTGTGCCTGGCTGTTTGCAGTTTGGGCAGGAAGCCCTTTTTTCTGCTCAGCCTGTGCTTGTGAAACAGTTTCTCCCTCTGCTCTTTCATAACCACAGCTGGATCAGCCAGAGCATCTCAGCAAAACCTTGGGGGATCCTGTGTGTAGGAAAGATTGTGCTGTTTTTTCCTAGGGGTGGAGGCTCTGAGTCATATGAGATCATCAGCACCTTTCCCCAGAGGGTATACACGGACAACTCCAGGAGCCTGCAGGAATGTGGCCTGACTCCCAATGCCTCCTTGCTGCTGCGGAGAAGAGACCCCTCCCAAAAAGAGGGGACAGGGCTGCAAATGGCTTAACAGCCCCTAGCAAGAGCTGCTCACCCCAAGTTCTGCAAAAGGAAGGAGCTGCCTTGCACTGTCAGCTGTGTTATAACCTCCCCTGGCTGGGAAGAGAGGAGAGGGGTGTCTTTCACAGAGAAGAGCTCATAGGCAGCAGTTTGGCCTCTCCCTTCGGCAGAGGGTGCCGGGCTCAGTCCTGCTGCCTCAAGGGCGGGTGCTTTTCCCCAAGACAGGTGGGCTCCTAACACAGGGGCAATTCTGCCAGCTCAAACCCGAGGCCTGGTTTCTCTTTTCTGCTGAAGGTTACATAGGCTGGTTCCTGCCCAAGGAAGGCCACCAGCTTTACACTGGTACCAGTTGCTTAGCTGGGCTCAGGCATTCTCTACAGCAGCAGGACAGACAAACAGCCAGGGTCAATTTGCTTTCCACACACAGCTGCTCCCCAGAGATTTAAACTGCACTTACACCCAGGAGAAACAGGCTCAGTTATATGGTCCCCAGTGAAGCTAAACCAAAAAGCCCTGAGCCATTGCAATGCTGGGACAGAGCCAGGCTCATCTCAGCCAGGAGATCCTGCTGCTGCGTTTCCTGTACGTGAACAACTCCTTCCCCTGGACAGCCCGCAGCTCCAGCGGGGCCCAGGCTGGCAGCCAGGCCGAGCTGCCGGCCTCCCTCCCTCGGCAGCCTGCTGCAGCCAGGAGCTGGATGCTGCAACAGGACACTATGTCATTGGAGAAGAGCATAATCCCT